AGGATTCTAAGCAAGTCACAACAAAATGCACCAGAGCTTCCTCTAATCTTCTTTCCGTCACTGTGGTGTAACCTCTGACACTCAGGGTGCCTACTTTTGGCCCTCTTTAGTTGGAAAATAGCCTTGAATCCAAGGGCAACTAGATGGGTTTTCAGCCTGCTGGGTGTGGAATGAGAGATGTAATCAAAAACCAGATTTTAAACAATGCACTCCCCTGGTGCAAATTACACTTAATTGAATTTACTTATCAGTTTTTTTTTTCATTCTCTGAAGCAATATGCACTGGTTTGGCCCATGTGGTTATGATATTCTCTCTGGTTCAGATCACATTAAATCAAACTTGAGGATGGTTAGAGACACAGTATAACCAGGCAACCAATTTAATCAATTGTTGTTATTAGGTATCAATAAACAAAAGACTTGAGAGTCTGAAGTGTGGTGGTGGTTACCTTGTCATGTGGTGGTGGTGGTGGTGGTTACCTTGTCATGTGGTGGTGGTGGTGGTGGTGGTGGTGGTGGTGGTTTATATCTTATGACACAGTTTGGTTAATTTCAGTCTAAGTTTTGTCTGATGTGAACACGATTGTAAAGGTACATTTCTCACAGAGTTTTCTGTGCTGGATGTTAAATCTATGGAATATATACGTAAAGCTCATATTGTTCTATATAAAACAATTTTTCAATACCTTTTTCTTTTGCATTAAGTAATATAACAATTATGAATAATGAAAACAAAAAGAAAATATTTCTGCTTTCAGATTATCCACATATTTTAAACCTTTTAATATCAACTAACTTTATGAAACTTTTCTCATTTCTTGGTCTTTAGGGAAGTCCATATCCTTATTAAAAAAAAAAAATTATATATTTTTTTTCTATCTAAGTATCTCAGCACCTTTTGCCACTACCCTCAATCAAATTATGACACTTTAAAACTGTTTTTTTTTTTTTGTATTGAATTACAATTTTATTCCATAAGAAAGGATTCCATTGCACCTTCACACTGTTGCATGATGACTGACGTAATTAAGTGCAATCTTATTCATACACTTAGTATCAATAATATCCATTGCGTGCATCAAAACATAACATATACTTCCAAAAGTACAAAAGAAGGAAAAAAAAAATGGGACTCTTATCTGTCACTGTGTTTACACTCTACCACCACCCCCATGTCTTGCCCTTGCAAACCATGAAATATAATCTCTCTGTTTTTTCCCTTACAGCATCATAACATAAATCAAAGGTACCCCACAGCTAGTATCAACACTGCAAGCCACCGCCCACTGCGGATATCACTTGGTATTAAGTCCTGTCTGTGAGGTCAAAGCCTGGGTATCGCTGTGTCGCTTTGTACTAAAGCTTAAGGAATACTCTGAGAGAGAGAGAGAGAGAGAGAGAGAGAGAGAGAGAATGTAATGGTGATGTATGTCAAGTGCACTTGTTTGCTAATATAATAAATAAAAAGATAAAATGTAAAATTGTATCATATGAAATATTTAGCATATACTTGCATAACATTCACCTTGTACCTGACAGTTAAGTCACATTTATGTTTTACTAGTATATGTAGTTGGAATTTGCCAGAAAATTCTATGGTAAAAAAGCAGAACAGGTAAAAAAAAAGTGGATAATACATGATTTTATTGGGTATTCTTGGTCTCTCCACATGCATCATACATAACGGTGACCACAAGGATGACAGTTTTGCTGACAGCAAGGGCAACACCATGGGAAAAAAAGGCCATCAGAAAATATGAACACAAACAGACACTTAAAAAAGGGCAGCTGAGATGGAGAGGTGAGATGAGTGAGATCTGCATGTCGAATCAACCCGATCAACTGCACAGAAACCATCAAGGTGGCTCCCTTCAGACTTATAAATGTCAGATTAAACGTGAGATTTCCCGGCCAGAGCAAACTGTATGTGATTTGAAAGGATATTTTCTCTGGGTCAGTTTCTATGAGCTTTGTGAGAATTACTTGGAAGCTGCTATATTGTTTTCAATAAAATCTTCTGTGTAATAAAGAAAGTTAGAAAACAGACTAAATTGATTACCAATTGAAATTGCTTAAGAGAAACATAAATTTTAACAATGATTTTTAAAAGTTAACCTATACTTGTAGATTTAAAAATATGTATCAAATAGACTTCAAAGGAAATTATTCAATTTCAGCACAAGCGTTTCCAAGACCATCTGCAAACTTAAGTAAAGTTTTAAGCCCGACACAGTGAGAAAAAAAATCCCAACAGTCTGACAGAAAATTACTTCTATTACAATCGGCAAACATAAAAACTGAAAATGCACAATTATTTGATTTAATCATTCAGATTGTACACAAGTTTAAAGATTTTTTAAAAACTGAGATCATATTTATGATATAATGTCATGTTCCCTGCCATAATTGCTGTTCTTTTTTGGGGGTGTCTCTGACAGAGCCTGTCTTCACCAAGGCCCACACACACAGAGTCTGGTCTGTGTAATGAACCCTCACTAAGCAGTCTAGACATTCTCTGTGCTGAGAGAAGCAGTTGCAATTATGACCCAAGAAATTAAATCAATTTGGACTGTTTTTACATTACACACAAACATACAGATCCGAGACTCTAAAAACGTGAGTAGACTTTTAAAATTGCATTAGGTGTCAATTATAGGTTTGGAATATCTGCCCTAACTCACACAAAAGTTTCTAAGATTCGCTGAAATAATATGGCCACATTCATGTATCACTTAGATCCTACCACTTCTTTTTCTACAAGTTGTAACACAAACACACTCTGTTCCTTGCTGTGCATAAAAACCAGCCACATGTAAACAAAAGGGTGATTTCTTTAAATAAGGTATGTGTCAGTTCGGTAACTTGAAACCAAAATGGGTGACAAATCACAATTTTCCCAGGCCATACAGATCTTCCTTGCACTGCTGCAAAGTTAAAAGTTATAGCTAAAAATATACAAAATAAGGAGTCTGAGATCAAGACCCACTGAACATTTCTAATAATTGATTACTTGGCCCCTTTTCAGATTGAGTGGTATTCTTTAGTGATACAGTGTGTACCAGTAGCCAGTTAGTATACATAATACCCTTTCAAAAATCCTCAAAGATGTTAGATAAAAAAGCAATAAATGAATTACACTGTCTTCAACAGCCCTCACAGTTATTATAAAATGTCACTTATGATCCAGTATTAACAAAATTAGATGCCCTAAGGTACATAATACAATTCAATTCATCTTCAATGTATTGCTTACGTAACCCTTTTTGTTGTAATTCTTAACATAGCAGAATATTGCATACTGTGAAGACCAAGCATAACATTCATGTAAGTACATTAACACTTTTTGGACTTTATCCACCATTTATCATTCCCTAAATTCTCTTCCACTTTGTAAATACAGAATCACTTCAAGTATCTCAAACATTAAAACAATCAACATGAGAATACCCCTTTTAGTTATTGTAATGGATCTTCACTCCCCTTCTGTAGCAACCTTGAAAAAACTATATATATTTTCTTGAAGAGACTGGCACTATTGCTCTGAAACCCAAGGTGGAGTTGCAGAAAACCATGAAACCCATCCATCCATTAAAACAGGTGTGTCAGATAGAGCTCCACAGGGAAGAGGACCATGTCAGGTGACCCACCACAGGGAACAGGTGTAGTTTGTGTGAAGCAGCATGGTATCAGACAGAGAGAGGTGGGGGTTAAACCAATTTACAATATTTTCAGATGTATTCGGTTCAATATTGAATGCTCTAGGAATCTGGCAGAGTGTTTCATCATACTTGACAGTAATTAGGATGTATTTGCAACAACAACTGTCAGGTATAAGATCCTCATAAGTTAGTTCACCTCAAATAGCTTATATTAATAATACCAATTATGTTTCAGAATTCAGCATAACTGCCATAAGACGTTTAATTTTTGTTGACATCATTCAAATTGTATATTTTAGGTGAATTTATTCAAAAATGAGTTGGACTAGAGATGACAAGCTCCCAAACCTCCCTCATACAGATTTAGCACTGTGTTTGTGTATATAATATTGCATGAAATGGGCCAATTTGAGAGGCATACTCAAATTTATAATGGAGAACTAGAGTGCTGGAAGCATTTTTTTTTCAGACTGTAAAATAAACACATTAACATTACATGTCTAAGGACACAATGTCGTAATTCAGTCTTCACCTAAAACACACTCCTTTATCATAAAAAGGGAGGGGAAAAAGAAAACACCATTTGGTGCCTCTGAACTCCTGCTAGCACTTCCTTTCTCAATTACAGAGTTTATCCTCAGCAGTGCCACAATCAATTTATTCAAGAGCAATGTCATTGTCAATTTGTAAGTGCTGATCCTGCAATTGAAGACATCAGCATCCTCTCCTATGTTAAGGGCAAATTCCCACAAGAAAAATGAGACCGGTTCTGACATCATTCTTTTGACATCATGAGTAAAATATTGGTAATCACTTGATCACAGGCTAAAAGCACCAGCTCAGCATCAAGCCACCACCAAACAGTTACGAATCATTGACACAGGTAGCCTAATTCCCATCTACCAAGTGCCTTATTGTCACGATCTTGAAATGGAGCTTTTTTGAGAACGTTTTATTTTTTGAGTGTGAATCCACACTTAAATGAATTGTGAATTCTCAAATGTAATGGGGAAATGAAATGTGAAGTAAAAACAGGGAATGACTAGGAGGAAATGGGAATCAAATTAAGACTGGAGTGAACATTTGTCAAAGATGTCTAATCACGCCTTTAGTGAAAACAAAGTTGTTACATGCCAAATACAAAATCAAAAACATGTAAATCTACACAGCATACTTCCTATTTAACTTCAACATCTTTTTTTAATGTAAACACACTACTTTTCTAGTTCATATGTCAAAATAGCAGCAAAATAGCCTTAGGTAAAAAGTAGCTTTGGCTATAGATAGCTGTTAGTATAATCTAATGTAACTACAAAATATTTGAAAAAAAAAAACAGCAAATTTGGAATGATTTTTTATATAAATAATTTGAGGTCACCTTGTGATTTCTACATAAATGCAAAATAAGAATATTTAATCAATTTAATAGTGATCCAAATCCCACTTGGCAAAAACACATTCTTGTATAGAATCACTTCTACTAGGCAGTAGAGTAACATTTTTGAAGGGGAAGCTGCTGTGCTAAACACTCAACACATTGAATGTTTCTTCATTGTGTTAGGTGAGACATGAATCTAAGAACATTTTTCATTTCCACTTCGCATTTACCAAGTCTTTTCTTGAATGACTGATCAAATGACTTAAAAATGAAAACTTAAAGTAAAAACTGAAAAATTGAAAAGCCTGCTAAAAAAATTAACATCAAAACAAAGATGCAGGTCCTTTCAGAAACCTGGTTCTATTTTCAATTTAAAAAATGTGCATGGCATTATGCAAAATCTTTTAAAAGAAAACCCTAATAAAAAATATTACTGTTATGATTCAAAACCAAAATTGATGCTAAAAATTTATCATCAACATGAAGATGAAGTTCCAATAAAAAGTCCCATTTTGTTTCCAAATACGTTTACCATGGGATCACAAATTATCCAGCAAAGATTTGGAATATTTCTTCCTCTGAAGGTACTGTCTAGGTTTTACACTGCCAGCCCCGAGTCCATCCCTGGGGGAGTCTACATAGGGCAGAGGACCTGGACACTTCTGAAACATGGCAAGGAAATATCAAGACTAGAAAAATACCTTTTGTCTGTGCTTCAAAATGGACTGCAGAGGTGTAACACAATGAGGAACTGTTCAATTGCAAACAATAACCCATGATTTTTTTCTCTTATTCTTATTACCTCTTTCTCTAAATTTTTCTTTTTTTGTGACAGACTTACAATCAGTAATGATACTTTTCTAAAATTTGCTTTTTATACTGATTTGCTTTTTACTTCAACTTTTTCTCTCTCTAAAAAGAGTTTTACTAAATTAAATTTCTACAAATATGTCTTCTTTATATTCCAATGTCTATACTTTATACGGGTAAACTGAATAAGCTATTTACCTAACTTGTGCTCTCTCTAACAAGAATTTTACTACTGCAGAATTTTGTTTTACAAGTATACCTTTTTCTTGTTCCAATGCCTAAAATTGGTAAAGGTGGGCTGAATAAAGATATTTCTTCATCAGAAATGATTTTACAAGACCTACCTGTTTTAACAACATCTGGTGTGGAATATCCAGAGAACCCTTCACCAGACAGTTGACTTTCTCCAACACGGCAGACGACAAGGGAGTGATAATGTAGAAAACTTTCTTCACAGGATCTATGCCTCTAATAATCCCTTTTAAAAACAAAGATTTGATTAAGAAACAAATTCAAATGTCACATGAAAAGCACCATGTCTGTATTTACATTATTTTTCTTAAAGGTTTTTTGGCTCGTTTTCTGACAGAATAACATCCAATGTCTTAATTGTGTCTCTTATCAGCAAAAGAGTCCCAAAAAGAAAGAAGTTTTTCTCTCACCTGGAGCCTAATAAAGTCAAAATCATAGAAATGAAAACTGCATGAAAATAAAAATAATAAATAGGTCGAAAAAATAACTATAGATAGGCTATAAAAAAGAAATTGATAAAGGCCTTAGCCATTACTTACCAAACCCGAGACATTGACATACAGGAGTAGAGGTAAGGAACCTTGGAAGTTCTGGGTCACTAGGTGGCAGCATCTACAAATATAATTTTTGAATAAGATACCAACACTGATATCAGTGGCATCTGTTTTGTCATCAAATATACAAAAGAGAAAAAAAAATTTTGTGTGGTAAGGATAGAATTACATGTGATGACTTCAATACAGACTCTTATGCTACTTTAAAAAACACTTTCTACAAGGAATTTGTAAAACGGCAGGTGACAAATATTAGACCATCTAACTTTTGTGATTGGTGTGGTAACCTTCAATCAAATGCTGCTAAGCTAAAAAAATGAAAAACAGCCATGTATGGAAATTTGAAATTTTGTATAATCTGAAGACCCTTCTGATTGAGCACTCTGTCGTAATGTTCCATATTCAGCGTTCTGTCTTGAGAGATTTATATGATGTTAGAGAATCACTTAAATGGAGCTCCAATGGTTTTCACTTTGCCATTTTTGTACTGTGCTAAATAGTGCATGATGCTCCAGGTAGAGCTTCCGCACAAACAGCATTTAGTGAGCAATCTTGTGAATCCCATTGCAGTGTAATTACAGGGTATTATCTCTCAAAACAGATCGCTTAAAATGGAACAGTAAGATAAAACTCCCATTGTGAAAAGGTCTGAAGGCCATTGACATGAGCAACTTACAAGGGTCTGGTCTACCATGCACAAGGCCACCAGAGAACCATTCAAAGCATGCATGACTTGTGAGGGCGGGACCATACTGCCACTGACATGTACTGCTACACTGCGCCATGACACCATGAATGGCTGGTGGGCGTTGATTGGCACAAAATGCTCACTAGATGGCACATGCAGTCTACTCAAATATGCTATGGTGGCCATAGCTCTTGTGTCTGGGGCACTGTAACGGCCCTTGCGACTGAAATGTGTTAAAAATTTTTTACAAAATTTGAAAATATTGTTTCAGGTCTGTCACTGGGAGATAATTATGAAAATTAAATACATATTTAATGCCACACACTGAATGTTAGATCATATAATTATGCAAAAATTTAATTTCTTGACTGTATGTTTACAAAAAAAAACATTCACCCTCCATTTGAAAAAAATGTAATGTACAAAGGAGGTGAAAATCAGTAAAATGCTGATTAAAACTGAATCATTAACATTTATGCTTTAGATCTATACATATGCTTTAAAGTAAAAAAGAATATGTTTCAATATCAAAGAAAACATGCTGATTTGGGCATACTCAAGTTGAGTTTCATTAGCAGATTCTATTATGGTCAGTTTATGGCTGTATTCAGTCAGTCCATCATCTACTTCCTCATCTGGTAGTGTCTGAAATAACATGACATGTCTTGAAACAAAAACAGAATCTGATACTCAAAATTTTTAAATTATATTAATTACTACATAAATAAATTAAAATTTATTACTTTTATATTTATTACTATTTTCATACACCTTTCTATCATACAGCCTTCAGAGAAACCCTCTGTATGTCAGAGTGTCCAAGCCTGATGTTAAAATTATAACTATACATATCATGAACACATATTCAGAGATTTCTTTACATAAAACTATTTTTTGTAGTGGAAGTGGCATCAGCACCTCCCCCCATCTTGGTTATTTGGACAAAGGCCATCTTTCCACCACCACCCAATGACAATTACCACCCGAACAATCCCCTTAAAAATTTAGAAATACCCTTTAAAAGAAAGGTACAAAATGAGGAACATTAGACATGCAGCTTTTTGATGTTACACTGTCACCATTGCCTACTCACTCCTGCCTCCATATCAGTCCAGCCTTGTGTCGCCTGCACAAAGTTGGATGTTACTGGAGGGAGATTCTTCGACTGTGTCTTGGCAGAGTCCAGCTGAACAACAAAGTGTGGTCGTACAGTCCTCAGCACATCCACCAATAGGTTTAGTCCCAGACCTGAAGACAGGAACAATAATGAACACATCTTCTCAGCATCTTCTTAGCTTAGATTATATCTTCACCACATTACAGGTGCCTACAGTGTTGGCATGGCTTGTCCAAACCATGCCATGAGAGAACAACAGCTGAATTTTTATCTGCCATTAAGACTGATCCAGGGGATATAAAACATTGTCCAACTAAAGCTTTCCCATAAATCTGAAAGGTTAATTGAAGGATCTGAGGGATAATGTGTCTTACTAGTCTGTTGCATAAACACAAGTCTGTGGCATAAGCACTGGGATAAGGCCAAATGCCAATAAACCTAAAAGTGGGTTAGACCAAACAATTCAGTAGGCTAAAAGTTTTAGACCCCATTCCCAGAGATTAGATTGATCCAACTAGATCGACCTAACTCCCTGGGGGTTCACGTTAAATAGCTGTCAGCCGAGCGGGCACGAAAGTTAATTACCCCCTTACAGCTTGTAGTAGGCGGGACGGACGTTTAAGCCGGATTATCTGACAGTAATCTAGTGAGACTCCCCACGGGGATATATCGATCTAAAATCTATGGGAATGCGCCCTTAGGCACAGACTGTGTTGCTGCTGTATACCTTTATTCCATCCCATAGTATTCACAATCAGTGGTGTGGTAGAAAACTGAGACTTGTACTGATTGAAGACATACTTGACACAGTTCACATAATGGTTGGGATCTTCAGCAGGAGAGGCACATCCAACAAATGTGGAGCTGAAAAAATCAAAGAGTCTTTTAATGAAAAGAGAATAAAGGAATATGCGACCAAAACAGTGGAATAAAATTATCTATATTTAAATATGTAATGCACTTTTTCTCCACTGTATGCATTTTTCCCACCGTTCCTATGGCAACATATAAACTCTGAGTTCATTTAAGCACATACAATTTATGCCAAATGCTACAATTAACTGCAGTTATTCAATTTTTTTTCTTTTTTTTTCTTTTTCTTTTTTTGCTACAATAATCGCATACTGACTTTATATTCTTACCCGTCTCAAACTTATGACAATAAAGATTTATAGATTTCTGGCAAAATTAATTTCTTTAACAATACAGTTTCTTTGAATTATACAACAGAAACCCACCATACAGGTTCTTGCTGGTGTGTGAATGGTGGTCCTAGCAATGGTTCAGTTACAGAGTTCAGTGTCACACAGCCCTGCAGGGAGAATTCTGACTGCCCAATATCACATTCCAGGTAACAGACTTCTTTGCAACTAAACGGAAATGAAGAATACAATATTAAGAAACTTAAAAGATTCTCTGTAAAAATAAACAACAGTGAGTATAGGGAAAAGATAAAGACTAATATGTCACTGAAATACACAATACACTACATCTTATTAGACTAGAAATTGGTTCCCATAACAAATTGGTTCCCATAACAGATGACGAAAAACCAAGCACACCAATACATTCTTTTACCATTTGTATTGATTGAAATAAAAGGTAGTGTTTTCATTTTTAAAAATGATTTTAGCCTGCTATACAAGCACCATATACAAGGCGTTAAAGGTGCAAGTACATCTCAACAGACCAAAGGTTCACTGGTCTGAAACTGTTCTGTACTTGTACAGAGGCTCAATGCTATGCGACTGAATGACACTGCAAGGGAACAGGAACCATTTTCCACAAGTTAATACTGATAAAACATTTCATGGTCCAAGATTGGCTGCTTTACATCATAATGACCATGTTTAAAACTTTTATATATGTACCACACATAACTGTACATGCCGTAATAGTTTTGAAATTCAGACTTCAAATAAAAAATATCTATTTATTACATACCAGTTTAAAGCAGAGTTGACCAGATAACGCCCAAGCGTTGACTTCCCCATGTTCTTCCCCCCACAGAGGACCACCACTGGGCCAGGATCATGACATCCCTCTATTGCACTACACCACATCTCAGACACATACTCATAGTTCTCAGTTATCTCAAGGACAGCTGGTGGTCTGTCATGAATGATCTGAACACCAATGTCAAGGTTGATATCTGAAGTTGTGCTCTGTGGCATAGGGGAGAAAAGATTCTGAAATGGACTTATACTGGAGACATAATCGCAACACAGGCTATCTAGTTGCTTGAAATGAAGCACCACACTTTGCTGAGTCATTTCATGTAGAACTCCTGTAAGAATTTCACTGTCCTCGTTTTTTAAAAAATTCTTTACAGCTGCTGTCCTTTTTTTAAGAGCATCAGAGTCCTTGTAAACTCCTATGCTTGTCTTGTTAATTACGTCTATATTTTCTCTGTCCCCTGCAGTTTTGACCAACAAGAGGCTACTGCTGTCGGGAGAGTACATCCTATAGGGAGCAGCACCAGGCTTGATCTTGAACCCAAGCACCATGACTTCTCCAACAACCACAGAAATTTCACACTTTCCCTTGAAACAAAATTCCTGGGGATGGTTCAAGGTAATCAGTACAGAGTTTGGATCCTTCAGGGAAAACATGCTGAAAGACAAATACATTATAAAAATTAAAATAAAAAGTGATTTTAACAAATCACAGAACAAGAGCATAAAAGCAAAGTAACAATGAAAGTAGATATTGATGTTGGTTTGATCAGATCTGTGAAAAGTGTCATATATCAATATCTCAAATACTCTTATTAGGTTCTCAGTCTTAAAACAGACTATTGCAGTACCTTTCTTGGTGCACTCCTTTCACATTATATGCAAGTGATTCTCCTTTTTCCCCTTCCCTAACTGCATTTATTTTACCATGAGTACCAATGTCAAATTCATCGGCTGTTCTTATGTCTTCATCTTCTTTCCTCTTTGCTGTGTCTAAATTACCACCAACAGAAATTTCACTTTTTCTGTCTCTGCCTCTTGATCTTTTTGGTGAAGTAAATCTGTCAGGTGAATTTAAAGGAAGACTGAGCCATTTGTCTCTCTTGCTCTTTGGCATTGTCAAAGTTTCCAAATTATCTGATTCTTCTCCTTTCCTGCCTTCAGGCTCTTTTGATTCCTTAGGTGCAGGACTTAATAAACTGGCATCCTTCTTTGCAGACTTACTTTTACTGTCATCACCTGAGCTCTGGTTGCCTATTGCCATTTTTCGTTTGCCACCCCGTTCCTTTTTTGGAGGGCCTAATTTAGACAATAACCTGCTTTTAAAGTCTACAGTTACAATCTCCATTTCTGAAGACTTTCTTGGGGCAATTTCTTGACTGGATTGTTTTCCATGCGACCTTGTGTTGTGTGCTAATGGGGCCACTGCCTCGGGTGCCTTCTTTTTCTTTTGTCTACTTCGACCCATGATTTTCTAAAAATAGTGAAACAATGGTTTAAAGTCCTTATTTACATTAAAAAAATAATTTCATTTTTGAATCAAATAAGGATTTTTGAATTTCATTGGCATCACAGTTAAAGGGATAATATCTCTTCGTTTTGGCCAAAAAATGAATTTTCCTGGAGTAAACAACAATTTTCCCATACTAACCAATGATTAATGAATCCATTTCTACATTCTAAGTTAGTCCCTGGTTTTTTTCTAAAAAATTTGGTTTTTTTGCTAAAATCTTGTAAGAGATTATAACAGAGTATAGCCTTCAATGGAGGTCATGTGATCTAAAGACATGCTCAGATATTGAAATAATAGCTATAACTGCCGTTTTTGTGGTACAACAGAATATATATTTAATATAACTGCCGTTTTTGTGGTACAACAGAATATATATTTAATTTCTATGAGTTGTTTACAAGAGTTGTTTACAATGTTTTTATTGTGAAATATAGATCTCATACGAAGAGTTATTATCCCTTTAAGGATTCATTTTTCTATTTCTAAAACATATGAACTCTATACAAATTTTAAAAGTTTTTCTACTGTATAGTAGGAACTTACAAATGTACATTGCAAATGACAAGGTCAATCATGCAAGTACTAGTGCCTGAATGTGTGAATGTGGACAAATGTCTTAACTGGACACTGTTGTCAAACTTTCTCCTCAACCAACTGACATTACAAAATAAGTCTATAAATTTTTGCAAACAGTCTTTTCCCATGTGGGGGACTGTGACCCACCAAATATATTTTGTTTCTTTAACTTTCTTAAACATCTTTAAATTAAGTTAAATTGTCCTAGCTACAGCTTAGCAACATCACTTCTTAAAAAATTACTGAGATTGTCCAAAATAACAATGAACAGGCCCATTATCTATCTTTCTATTACGTAATACTATCACCACATCTGCTATTGTTACACATGTATCTTTATCAGTTTTTATATGTGGGGCATTTCAAAATATCGCTCCCTCCTTTTCCCCTCTACCAAACCTCCGGGCACTTGTTTCTATCAGTTTGGTGCAAAAGATTTTATCATGCATTTTAATTTTTTTAAACCCGATACAATTTGGGGGGGGGAGGGGGGGGGGATTGAGAGTGCCAAAGAGAAAATTAAGGGCCTCAAATATTTCTTCAACAGAGGGCGCTATATACATCACAATGATAACAGTCACAAGGGGTGTGTTCATTTGCAGAGGGCATTGCTATGCACTGTGTTTCCATATCAAAGTCCTCTATAAATTATACACACAAATATCGTTCATAATGTTTACATTTAATCAGTTTCATTAATAAACCATGTTGTTTAAGCTGTTATTTTAATGGGCCCGAATGTCTACAACAGAAGGTAAGTGAAGCAATTTATTTGACCTTTACCGTCGGCAAATGCGAATACTACTAGTCTACGCACTGTACAGCACATGCATGCAATGGAGAGGGGGGGGGGGAGATTACGAAGTTTAAAATACCAGCTCAGGCGATCGAGTAATGGATCGTCTGGTACATAAAATCATAGCTATGTTCTACCCTCGGATCATATTTTTAAACAAGAGAGCATTGTATGTCTTTTTCAGGCAGTGATAACGATATGAACTTACCGATCAAATATAACATACACATTTACACGTCCACATGGTGTTGTCCTAACATGTGCAAAATTAGGTCAAATTTGCGCGTATAGAATTGGGTCAAGATAGTGCTATGTTTCAAAATAGTTAATATAGCTCTTTAAACAGATCCAGGTCTATATTTTCGAATAGAATAATGATTGAAGATATATATTTTTGAAAAAAGTTCCCTACTTTTGCTTTGTGCGAAAATTGAAAGTTGCATCAACAGAATTACTCCGCTGCGTAGAGCGCATGATCAAAGATGGCAGCTTCCGTGAAAAGAAAATTTTTATTGTCCAACTCGGAATTTAAGTGAATGCTTCATGTTGTTCTACGCTAGATTGACGGGGATCAATGTAAGGTATTGTAGTGAAGTTGGTTCTATAGCATAAAGGAATAACAGCGTATCAAACGCTGTCTACCTTACATAATGGAGAAAACTGACTCAAAAATAATAGGCGATAGCAAAGCAGACGATTTGGCGCAGATGGACTCCCAAGGGCTCTCTCTTCCTGTTTCTGCCGCTCTCTTCACTTCGTTCGAAAGTGACATAACAGAAAATGAGGATGAAGACAGACCTCTCATTCGAGCTGGAGGTTCAACGGGGACAACAGCGTCTGGACTGCCAAGTTTTGTCGGACAGTACACGAACGCAGACACGGCCAGGAAGGTGCTGGAGTATACGAAACATATCCAAGGTTTAAGTGCCGATATGACCTCTTCGGTGGAATCCAGTAGGGATCTTCTGAGTAGTGACAATGAGGGAACAGATCAGGAACCATTTCGTAAGAATATAGCGTATATGAGACTGGCAGAGACTGGGTTTGTGGGGGAGGAAGGTGAGACAGAAGACCCCTCCCCATCAGCAACAGCGAAGAAACCATTAGCAGCAGCAGCAGAGGCATCTGCTTCTGTGTCACAGAAAAATACTGAACACACTACACAAAAACATTCCAAGAGTGCCAAAACTGACCATCGGTCAGCTGACAGTTATGATGACACGGTGCCCTCAAAATCTGGGTCAGGGTCAAGGACTTCTAATTCTGGGTCAAGGTCATCAAGCTCCGACTCGCCAGACAGAACTCTGGTTGAGGACCCAGCTGATGACGGAGATGATGATGATGATTCCCCAAGAAGCAGCAGCAGACCTAATGATCTGACATTGCCTAAACCCCTACAGCATTATGAGAGGATACAGCGGATGAAATACACATCAGAGACAGAAGATGCAGTGGATGTACTGGATGAGCTGGCCAAGACGCCACTGCAGAGCCAGGGGACTGTGATGAAAGAAGGGGAGCTGGTGGCATTTGTTGCCGATGACTTACAGCAGAAAATAAAGCTGAGCAGCCCTTGTAGCAAAGATGGTATGGCATGGTGTTATCAGTGGGGGTGTGTGCATGTGTGAGTGTATGTTTGGCCAGGAGAAGAGGTGGAATACCCATAAATAGTAACTGTCTTAGAAATAGAATTGTATGAGCAGAATCATGTGACCCTATGACAAATTGGGTTGATCTGTTTTTATGTAAACCATACATCAGCAGTTGTATGCTTTAATTGTGTTAATTGCCAGTGTCATAGCCTAAAAGTTCTTAAAGCAATAATAACTCTTCCTTTGAGATTCAAAAATCCGCATGAAATACATTGTAAAAAACGCATGGAAATATATTCTATTGTATTTTACCACTAAAACGGCCGTTATTGTAGGAAAACTAAAATCTGTGCTTGTCAATAGGGCTTACGATGCCTTTTTTCCGGTCGACAAGTGCATTCGTTGCTAATGACGTAATGGTGTCACGCGGATTCTCGCGTTCATTCGAGACCAAAATAACATGGCGCCAAACGCATTAGTGCAGACGCAGACGTAAGTTGCGAGTTTTTGTACAGTGCGTCGGATAACGAAAAGCCCAGAATGGCACACATTGTGGATATAAATGCATTTTTAACAAAAAGACGAATATATCTCATGAATCTTATATAGTGTTGTTGTTGTCTGCTTTTCCCGCGGTTTTAAGTAGGTCACCAGTGACTTTGCAATGTCAGAGAGAGCTCCGTCAGTTAAAATCTCTTAAGAGATTTTAACAAAAAACCGTACGTTTAGGAAAAAAACCCTGGATTAACTTTGAATGCAGGAATGGGGTCGTTGGCCATTGGTAAGTACGGGAAAATTGCCGTTTTTTCCAGGAAAATCCAATTTTTGGCCAAAACGAGGAGTTATTATGACTTTAACCATACTAGTTTTTAGTTCATAAGTATTTAACCGGAAAATGCAAATTATTTTAGGTGATATAGGAGGTGTAAGGGAGAGAAAAGACAGCCAAGCATCCAGTCTAAAAACTACCTCCAGCAGTAACTACAGTTTGTCCAGCAACTCTTCAGTCACGTCCTCCTCAACATGGTCTACAGCAGCGACACCTATCCACAGAAGACGGAGTAATGCAGATGTCCCACCTATTGATCCCCATGTGCTGAGAGACATTGAGATTCAAGCCACCCACATTTCAGACAATTTGGATCAAATGTTGAAGAAACTGAAAACAAGTATGGAAAGGGTAAGTGTGGTTATACAGTGGATCTTACCATTACATTTGCCTTGGCAGAACAGCATTATTTTCAACCTGTGAGAAATGACTATCGGCATCTCCACAATTCCTGTAAAATATGTGGTAGCACTAGTATCTAGAAAAAAAACATTTGGCTTTTATCCTGTTTTAACCAGTTGAATCAATGGACTTTCTGGGTGGATTCTTCCAAGGTATATGACACAGGAGTCCTGTATATGCAGTAGATTATAAGCACTGTTCTTATCATCATCACACTCTCTCTTCCCAGATGTCTGCTATCACAGTAGGTTGTGTTGACACCTATAAGGAAGCCATAGACAACACATGTGATGCTGTAGATGGAAGTATTAAGGTACTTTATTAAAATACAAATTAAAATAGCAAGCATGTTAGGATTGTTTCTTCCAGATTAAAAAACCTATTATCTTGTGATGTTGTTTAAACCAGTTTGCTGTTCATTTCCAATGCTGATAAAGTGGACTTTAAAGTATAAATATCCCTTGGATTTAGCAGAATGCGTGTTGTGTGTGTGTGTGTGTGTGTGTGTGTGTGTTTTAATGTGTAGAATGATTTCAATATGCCACTGTTAAAGGGGATTTGGCATTGAGCTTGAAGCTAACTACTGATTGCCATTAATGTTTATTTTTATAATTTTTTTTATTAAAAATTTCACCCTGTATTTTTTCAGTCCATGTATGCACTGATGGCAAAGTGTGAAGAGCTCAGCAAGTCAGTTAAACCCATTTATGATATTCATGAACAGATGTATCCTTTTGCTTTCAAATTTGATAACTTTTAATCGGAATGTTTCTGTTTCTATATTACCAAGACCCCATTTCCAGAGATTAGATCGATCTACTTAAGATCGACCTAACTCCCTGGGGGTTCACACTAAATAGCTGTCCACTGGGCAGACACGAAAGTTAATTACCCCCTTACAGCTTGTAGTAGGCGGGACGGACATTTAAGCCGGATTATCTGACAGTAATCTAGTGAGACTCCCAGCAGGGATAGATCGATCTAAATGCTCTGGGAATACAGCCGAAGTGTCATCTTCACAGTTGAATGTGTTAGATGTGACTTAGTCTATGTGGAGCTACAGGAGATTGTTTTCAACCATGCTGTTCATATATTGTGTTAGATGTGACTGTGTTCCAACTGTAAGTTTTGATTGTGTTTACCATCATACCCTGTCCCAATTGTTTTAGGTGTGAGAAAACCCAGAGTAGCTGTTATCTGGTAAAAAAAAAAGACCTGTTTCTTTCTGGGTTTTTTTTTTTTGCCCCATGAAAAATTTACCTTTTTTATGTGGCAGTAAATAGTGTAAGGAAAATGAGCTTCTGAGTAATAAGATGATAACCTAATTGTTGTTTGGTAGATTACTTGCTGCTAAAGATTAAGATGCTTGAATATTTGCTTTGACTCAAAATCTTTTTCCTCTTTCTGTGTTAGCTACTTCACTAAGATATGACTTCTTTAAGAAACAGATGTTCCGGAAGTCAGAAGTAGATTAGATTATTATGTTGTTTTTGCTGTAGAAGAGATTCACATACTTGATCAAAGTCTTCAAACTATCCAACATGCATGTAAAATTCTTCGATAACATCTTTCACTAAAATAAAAACAGTATTCTCTAGAGTGAGAGAAAAACTCTTTCCATAACGGCTCTCTTAATCTAGATGTAGTTTACGCGTAGGTTTCTTAATTTCCTGCACAAGTCGGTAAATAGGTTATATGTAACCATACATGACAAGACCTGTTTTTTTATGGTTTCTAAGATTTCTTTCAGAAATAATGTCACTTGTGTAATCTCTTCATCGAATATCATGCATATTTTCACAAATCCTTTCAAAAGTTTGTTGATGTTGTATTTCTTTACATATTTGAGTTGCTTATTTATATTTTTTGTATATTTATTCATTTATTTATTTGACATCATGAGTTTGTTTCCCTTTCATTGTCTTGCTTTTGGGTGGGTTCATATCTTTTAAAATTCTTTTTATGTTTGGAAATAACACGATAGTAATTTTTCAAGTGTTGTTTGCCTTAACAAAACCTCAGCAAGGAAATCAAGAGACTTCTAGACATGTTTGAGATGCAGATCGCAACCCAAGACCACTGAGATGGAACTAAGGATCACGACTTGGTCACATGGCCTGTCACATGGTTAGTCACATGACATAGTCACATGGTTTCTTACATGGCTCTTCATTCTGCTATCAATGCTCCCTTCCATACAGTATTAGACAATAGGTGAAGTGAATGCAATATGAACCTGCTGAATAATACTGCTTGAAGCCAGACCCAGGCCCAAGTATATGAGTCTAGTGACCGTGCAAAAATAAAATCATGGCAGTTATTTCTGTTTAAGTCTGAAAATGAACCACGTAAAGAGCTGGTTGTAGAACAATTATATTAACCATTTCTGTTAATTTCACTGGCTTCACAGCATTTTCTCTGGATAGTTAGTTAAACATTAGTGTGCATAATTGATTTATCAATGGCTTGTACGTGTAGACAGTAACTGAATGTATACTAATATATTATTTATTTGAATTAGTTCAATTAGCCTCGCATGTGTTATGGTATTGATACTGTTTTATATTTTGAAGTTTTACTCAAAGGAATTTAAAAGTTACTCATTGTGTCATTTAAATGTGCAATATACTGTGTTATAATGAATTGGCTTTGTGCATCAATTTTGTATTTTTTCATATTTTTTCAGTAGCTAAAGTAACTTTAAATAAATGTGTATCCATGCCAACATTTAGATAAAGTTGTGTTTAGATGATGGATATCATTGGAGCGATTATTGCATAAATTTGTTATTGTTGGAAGATTAAGAAAACTTGAAAATTATTTTTTTTCTGATTGGTTGTAAGCAGTTTGCTTAGAAGATGAAAAATCAGAATGATTTCATTTCCTAGCTGTTACAGAATTGGAAAATAAATCATGAAATTACGTAAAACACATTATTTGGTGTTGGCTGTTTTTTTGTGNACTGCTATGCACTGTGTTTCCATATCAAAGTCCTCTATAAATTACACACAAATATCGTTCAATCAGTTTCATTAATAAACCATGTTGTTTAAGCTGTTATTTTAATGGGCCCGAATGTCTACAACAGAAGGTAAGTGAAGCAATTTATTTGACCTTTACCAATACCGTCGGCAAATGCGAATACTACTAGTCTACGCACTGTACAGCACATGCAATGGAGGGGGGGGGGGGAGATTACGAAGTTTAAAATACCAGCTCAGGCAATCGAGTAATGGATCGTCTGGTACATAAAATCATAGCTATGTTCTACCCTTGGATCATATTTTTAAACAAGAGAGCATTGTATGTCTTTTTCAGGCAGTGATAACGATATGAACTTACCGATCAAATATAACGTACACATTTACACGTCCGCATGGTGTTGTCCTAACATGTGCAAAATTAGGTCAAATTTGTGCGTATAGAATTGGGTCAAGATAGTGCTATGTTTCAAAAGAGTTAATATAGCTCTGTAAACAGATCCACGTCTATATTTTCGAATAGAATAATGAGTGAAGATATATATTTTTGAAAAAAGTTCCCTACTTTTGCTTTTTCCGAAAATTGAAAGTTGCATCAACAGAATTACTCCGCTGCGTACAGCGCATGATCAAAGATGGCAGCTTCCGTGAAAAGAAAATTTTTATTGTCCAACTCGGAATTTAAGTGAATGCTTCATGTTGTTCTACGCTAGATTGACGGGGATCAATGTAAGGTATTATAGTGAAGTTGGTTCTACAGCATAAAGGAATAACAGCGTATCAAACGCTGTCTACCTTACATAATGGAGAAAACTGACTCAAAAATAATAGGCGATAGCAAAGCAGACGATTTGGCGCAGATGGACTCCCAAGGGCTCTCTCTTCCTGTTTCTGCCGCTCTCTTCACTTCGTTCGAAAGTGACATAACAGAAAATGAGGATGAAGACAGACCTCTCATTCGAGCTGGAGGTTCAACGGGGACAACAGCGTCTGGACTGCCAAGTTTTGTCGGACAGTACACGAACACAGACACGGCCAGGAAGGTGCTGGAGTATACGAAACATATCCAAGGTTTAAGTGCCGATATGACCTCTTCGGTGGAATCCAGTAGGGATCTTCTGAGTAGTGACAATGAGGGGACAGATCAGGAACCATTTCGTAAGAATATAGCGTATATGAGACTGGCAGAGACTGGGTTTGTGGGGGAGGAAGGTGAAACAGAAGACTCCTCCCTGTCAGCAACAACGAAGAAACCATCATCAACAGCAGAGGCATCTGCTTCTGTGTCACAGAAAAATACTGAACACCCATCACAAAAACATTCCAAGAGTGCCAAAACTGACCATAGGTCAGCTGACAGTTATGATGACACGGTGCCCTCAAAATCTGGGTCAGGGTCAAGGACTTCTAATTCTGGGTCAAGGTCATCGAGCTCTGACTCGCCAGATAGAACTCTGGTTGAGGACCCAGCTGATGACGGAGATGATGATGATGATTCCCCAAGAAGCAGCAGCAGCAGACCTAATGATCTGACATTGCCTAAACCCCTACAGCATTATGAGAGAATACAGCGGATGAAGTACACATCAGAGACAGAAGATGCAGTGGATGTACTGGATGAGCTGGCCAAGACACCACTGCAGAGTCAGGGGACTGTGATGAAAGAAGGGGAGCTGGTGGCATTTGTTGCCGATGACTTGCAGCAGAAAATAAAGCTGAGCAGCCCTTGTAGCAAAGATGGTATGGCATGGTGTTATCAGTGGGGGTGTGTGCGTGTGTGAGTGTATGTTTGGCCAGGAGAAGAGGTGGAATACCCATAAATAGTAACTGTCTTAGAAATAGAATTGTATGTGCAGAATCATGTGATCCTATAATAAAGTGGGTTGATCTGTATACTGTATATGTAAATCATACACCAGCAGTTGTATGCTTTAATTGTATTAATTGCCAGAGTACTATAGCCTGAAAGTTCTTAACCATACTAGTTTTTGGTGCATAAGTATTTAACCAGAAAATGCAAATTATTTTAGGTGATTTAGGAGGTGTAAGGGAGAGAAAAGACAGCCAAGCATCTAGTCTAAAAACTACCTCCAGCAGTAACTACAGTTTGTCCAGCAATTCTTCAGTCACGTCCTCCTCAACATGGTCTACAGCAGCGACACCTATCCACAGAAGACGGAGTAATGCAGATGTCCCTCCTATTGATCCCCATGTGTTGAGAGACATTGAGATTCAAGCCACCCACATTTCAGACAATTTGGATCAAATGTTGAAAAAACTGAAAACAAGTATGGAAAGGGTAAGTGTGGTTATACAGTGGATCTTACCATAACATTTGCCTTGGCAGAACAGCATTATTTTCAACCTGTGAGAAATGACTATCGGCATCTCCATAATTCTTGTAAAATATGTGGTAGCACTAGTATCTAGAAAAAAAAAACATTTGGCTTTTATCCTGTTTTAACCAGTTGTATCAATGGACTTTCTGGGTGGATTCTTCCAAGGTATATGACACAGGAGTCCTGTATATGCAGATTATAAGCACTGTTCTTATCATCATCACTCTCTTTTCCCAGATGTCTGCTATCACAGTAGGTTGTGTTGACACCTATAAGGAAGCTATAGACAACACATGTGATGCTGTAGATGGAAGTATTAAGGTACTTTATTAAAATACAAATTAAAATAGCAAGCATGTTAGGATTGTTTCTTCTAGATTAAAAAACCTATTATCTTGTGATGTTGTTTAAACCAGTTTGCTGTTCATTTCCAATGCTGAGAAGGTGGACTTAAAAGTATAAATATCCCTTGGATCTAGCAGAATGCGTGTTGTGTGTGTGTGTGTGTGTTTTTTTTTTTTAATGTGTAGAATGATTTCAATAATGCCACTGTTAAAGGGGATTTGGCATTGAGCTTGAAGCTAACTACTGATTGCCATCAATGTTTATTTTTATAATTTTTCTATTAAAAATTTCACCCTGTATTATTTCAGTCCATGTATGCACTGATGGCAAAGTGTGAAGAGCTCAGCAAGTCAGTTAAACCCATTTATGATATTCATGAACAGATGTATCCTTTTGCTTTCAAATTTGATAACTTTTAATCATAATGTTTCTGTTTCTATATTACCAAGTGTCATGTTCACAGTTGAATGTGTTAGATGTGACTTAGTCTATGTGGAGCTACAGCAGATTGTGTTTTCAACCATGCTGTTCATATATTGTGTTAGATGTGACTGTGTTCCAACTGTAAGTTTTGATTGTGTTTACCATCATACCCTGTCCCAATTGTTTTAGGTGTGAGAAAACCCAGAGTAGCTGTTATCTGGTAAAAAAAAAGACCCGTTTCTTTCTGGGTTGTTTTTTTTTTTGCCCCATGAAAAATTTACCTTTTTTATGCGGCAGTAAATAGTGTAAGGAAAATGAGCTTCTGAGTAATAAGATGATAACCTAATTGTTGTTTGGTAGATTACTTGCTGCTAAAGATAAAGATGCTTGAATATTTGCTTTGACTCAAAATCTTTTTCCTCTTTCTGTGTTAGCTACTTCACTAAGATATGACTTCTTTAAGAAACAGATGTTCCGGAAGTCAGAAGTAGATTAGATTATTATGTTGTTTTTGCTGTAGAAGAGATTCACATACTTGATCAAAGCCTTCAAACTATCCAACATGCATGTAAAATTCTTCGATAACATCTTTCACTAAAATAAAAACAGTATTCTCTAGAGTGAGAGAAAAACTCTTTCCATAACGGCTCTCTTAATCTAGATGTAGTTTACGCGTAGGTTTCTTAATTTCCTGCACAAGTCGGTAAATAGGTTATATGTAACCATACATGACAAGACCTGTTTTTTTATGGTTTCTAAGATTTCCTTCAGAAATAATGTCACTTGTGTAATCTCTTCATCGAATATCATGCATATTTTCACAAATCCTTTCAAAAGTTTGTTGATGTTGTATTTCTTTACATATTTGAGTTGCTTATTTATATTTTTTGTATATATTTATTCATTTATTTATTTGACATCATGAGTTTGTTTCCCTTTCATTGTCTTGCTTTTGGGTGGGTTCATATCTTAATTCTTTTTATGTTTGGAAATAACACGATAGTAATTTTTCAAGTGTTGTTTGCCTTAACAAAACCTCAGCAAGGAAATCAAGAGACTTCTAGACATGTTTGAGATGCAGATCGCAACCCAAGACCACTGAGATGGAACTAAGGATCACGACTTGGTCACATGGCCTGTCACATGGTTAGTCACATGACATAGTCACATGGTTCCTTACATGGCTCTTCATTCTGCTATCAATGCTCCCTTCCATACAGTATTAGACAATAGGTGAAGTGAATGCAAGATGAACCTGCTGAATAATACTGCTTGAAGCCAGACCCAGGCCCAAGTATATGAGTCTAGTGACTGTGCAAAAATAAAATCATGGCAGTTATTTCTGTTAAAGTCTGAAAATGAACCACGTAAAGAGCTGGTTGTAGAACAATTATGTTAACCATTTCTGTTAATTTCACTGGCTTCACAGCATTTTCTCTGGCTAGTTAGTTAAACATTAGTGTGCATAATTGATTTATCAATGGCTTGTACGTGTAGACAGTAACTGAATGTATACTAATATATTATTTATTTGAATTAGTTCAATTAGCCTCGCATGTGTTATGGTATTGATACTGTTTTATATTTTGAAGTTTTACTCAAAGGAATTTAAAAGTTACTCATTGTGTCTTTTAAATGTGCAATATACTGTGTTATAATGAATTGGCTTTGTGCATCAATTTTGTATTTTTTCATATTTTTTCAGTAGCTAAAGTAACTTTAAATAAATGTGTATCCATGCCAACATTTAGATAAAGTTGTGTTTAGATGATGGATATCATTGGAGCGATTATTGCATAAATTTGTTATTGTTGGAAGATTAAGAAAACTTGAAAATTATTTTTTTTCTGATTGGTTGTAAGCAGTTTGCTTAGAAGATGAAAAATCAGAATGATTTCATTTCCTAGCTGTTACAGAATTGGAAAATAAATCATGAAATTACGTAAAACACATTATTTGGTGTTGGCTGTTTTTCTGTGTTATTACCCCTTATGCCATGGGTATATATTTTAAGTATGATATCCATGACAATTTAAGACTGGGTTCCCACAAATTTAGATCGATACATCTGGAACGACAAAACTCCCTGGGGATTCAAGCTACATGTAAATTGCTGTCAGGTTCCAGGAGCCGTAATATGCTATACTGTTTAAGTGATGCATTGTGTTTGTGCAAGTTTTCTTATTTAAAAAAATCTTAGCCAAATCAATCTCTCAGTGGAAAGACATTTAATATATTTCTGTTGTTTTAAAAACGAATTGAATAATTCATCAGATATTGTCAACAATGGTAGATGAGACATGAGATAATGAAATGAATAGGGCTGACTAGGCTTGATTGTAAACACGCCTTAGAAGCACCAATGTTTGATCATTTCTGAACCCGCTGTGACACATTTCCCAGTTAAGTGCTTGCAAACTATTGACCTGAATTTTTAATCTCACCCCGAGATTCAGAGCTTTGGCAGTAACTTTCATACTGACATACGTAGGGAAAGGCCAGTTTCCAGTGCAGAAACTAAGGGTAATAAAGTTTGGCCTATAAACGTGCTGCCAGGTTCAGTGTTTATATTGGTTGTAGGAGGTCAGTACGAGGGCTGACTTTTAGGGATATAAAATGCCCTGGGCTTAATTGTAGATAAAAGATCAAATACAGATATTTGGTCAAATGTAGTTTTAAGGGGCTGGTGTAGGGGGGGGGGGGGGGGAGTAAAATTTCAGCTATTTTGCAGGAATCAATAATTGTCAAGTTTTAGTAACGTAGTTATAGAATACTGATTTATCGTTAGGTTATAGTCATTGTCAAATTGAAAATGAAAATTTACATTAAAAAAGGTTACCAGGATATGGATTCTGGTACAGATGTCCATGTTTTAAAAACATATTCCCATATTTACTGCACAGCTGATTGAGTTGACACTACCTCATGCAAAATCTACTTTCTATTGATTTATCACATGTTATTTGAATTTTATTGTGCATACACTGCCAATTGGGTTATCAAAAAGCTCCTCTGATCCCTAATCCATACAATACTTGTTTACTGAATTATTTTACAATTTTGTTACAATTTATTGAAAAAAATTGCAGCTGTTATCCACTCATTATGAGTTTCCCAGTGCAGCATTATGCTATATTATAACCTGGTCACAGCTGCTTTACTCACGGAGTATCTGATGCGTGGACCTATATTTATCTGCAACTTGTTTACTACCAGAATTAGACTGATTGTAAGTGTAAATCCAAGATAACCCAGAATATTAGAGTACTCCTCAAATCTATAAATAATGCCACTTTGTTCCGTCTAGGGGGAATTATTTTTGCAATTTATGATTAGTTTCTCAGAATGTTGAATAAGAAAATGAGTGAATGTTTTATTTTTGTGTCATTCAAACTACAGGTACTGTTATTTAGTTTGGCAAATACAAACTGATAGGTCATTTCTCTAAACAAACTTTGACCTGAAATACTTGTAGTTCAGTTTAAAGCAGTGTACTGTATAAAATACTTACTGTACACAATTAAAAAAAATTTTTTTGAAAATGTGTCATAGCATTAATCTTTTAATTGAGAGATATAAAAAAATGTAGCTTCTTTTTTTTTAACACATTTCAGCTTGAGAGAAATGTAGAAAAAGTAAATTAAACAGTATTGTCCTCACCTTGAGAGAGTATCAGCAATGTCATCATAATCCTGTAAATAAAATGAAATGTGCAACCTGGTTTCTTATCAAGACAGGTTATTAAAACTAGTTTTGAAAAGTGGAGGCCTTGGAATGATTTTCTTGGTCTCCTGTCCTTGACTAAAAGCATATCACCGCTTCATCCTCCCCCATGCATGTTGGTAAACATTTTGGCACTCAATTCAAGATTCAGCGTCACATTGTGTCACCTGTGGCTGGTACATCAATGTATCACCCTTTCTGGGGTAGCACAAGCAATTTTTTTCGCTTAGTCCTATTTCAACTGTTGGACAAATGTGGGCAACTGTTGGACAAATGACATTTCTAGAAGTTGCTTCTCTTTTCAGCAAATAATTAATATGCACTTTATTATGATATGATAACACCAGCTAGTCCTCTTCAAAATGGTTATAAAAAACAGAAAACATTTCTACTTGTTGCCCAAGTTCACATTTTCAAGGTATCACCAGCCCTGTACAGAAATAGGGTACATTAAAGTGGTCTTTTCCCATATGTGCTTAGCATACATGTATCTACATCCTGCACCATGCGTTCATGTGAAGCTCTTGATTAAACCAGGAATGATCTTAATAATACCCCTGCTTATTTTAAGAGTCACATCAATTAAGACACTTACCTGTTAACCCCTTTAGGTGGCAGAGTATTCTCCCATTCCCC